GTGCACTGAGGGGCCGAGAGGACACCTGGCCGTGCGCGTCCCTGCGGCCCACCATCCCGTGCACTGAGGGGCCGAGAGGACACCTGGCCGTGCGCATCCCTGCAGCCCACTATCCTGTGTGTTTTTTAGGGTGTTAGTTGCCTGCATCACAATGTGAAACTTGAGAGATTAAACACTCACTCCACCCAGGACTTGAACACCTGGTTGTACCCTAAAGGTGATGCTAGTGAAACCGCGTTTCACTAAAAAGCTTAACCTGCATATAAAAATACTTCAGCATGACTTTTGCCTCCTAGTTTTCTCTTTTCGCCATCACTAGGACGCGTGCTGCAGCAGGGACGGGTTCACTGCTCAGCTCATCGCAGAGATTCAGCCAATACTTACAGAATGCATATTTGTCGAACATTCACAGAGGAAAAGCAAGGCTTAAGGTAGTCTTAAACCTCTATGATGAGATGGTAAATCCTAGATTTGCCTGTTTTTAGAAAGCGCTATTTTAGGAGCAGAACCACAATGTGATGCCCATTTGTCTCCTTTTAAAGAGAAACGGGTACGCATGTTTCTATGATGGCTACTTCCTTCTGGGCTGCAGAGGGTGTCACACATACACTGAAGTTCCCTTGGATGCTTGTCCCACCCAGGGTCTCACTTAAGTTCTGTCCATGGAGTCTGGGTTCAGAGAAAACACAAGGAAACCTGGTCCACAGGTTCCTTATGAACACCTTGGGGCAGGCTAAGCACAGAGCTGCATCAGGAAGACAGACAGGGGAAGCTCATACCCCAGGTGTGTTCAGAAGGGGATGGAAGCCTTGCACAAATCTCTATGAATCCTCTGAATCTCATATTACATTGCTTTTAATTTTTTCAAAAATGTTTTCCACTGAAAGGAAAGATAAAAATGTGTAGCTGTGTCAAGACAAAGCTTGTGTGAAGAGAGATGAGAAACATGTATCTCCCTTTCTAGGACTTTCTGGAAGTTCAAAACTTGTTTTCAAAACCTAAGAAGAGGAGCACAGGGACTCACGGGCCAGTGACTCACACCTGTAACCCCAGCACTTTGGGGAGGCCAAGGCGGGAGGATCACTTGAGGCCAGGAGTTTGAGATCAGCCTGGGCAACATGGTAAAGCCCCATGGCTACAAAAGACTTTTTAAAATTAGCTGGAAGTGGTGGCAACACCCGCAGTTCCAGCTACTCAAGAGGCTGAGGCAGCAGGATCACTTGTGCCCAGGAGTTCGAGGCTGCAGTGAGCTATGATCACACCACTGCACTCCAGTGTGGGTAACAGAGACACTCCATGTCTAAAAAAATAAATAAATAAAAATTAACATGAACAAAACCTAATCGGAGGAGCTGGGGGATGCCGTCAGCTGTGTTCTATCATTCCCCTTAATCTGGTCCGGGAAGGACAAGAGTCAATCACTGTTGGTACCCAGAACCCCAACATCGCTAGGTTTTGAACACCACAGGTCACATTTGCCTCTGGGAAGCTCGAACTGTAAGAACTGTCTGGCCGTACGTGATGTCTGGAGACTCGCCCTCTTCCAGCTGCAGCTCCTTACGCATCGTCCCCTCAATCTCCGCTGCCAAGGAGTCCTGGGAAAACCAGAAGACAAATGTCAAGTGGGCGCCAGTTCAAATGCTCTGCCTCTGAGAGAGGCACACAGCCTGCGCGCCATGGAGAGTAAACCAAGGCAGCAGAAGCCCGCAGTCTCCCCAAACGCAAGGTGAACAGCACTCTCTGCTGTCAGAGACCCCCGCTGAGCGTTCGTCGGGCAGGTTCTGGGCATGGCAGCGCCACCAGACACGGAGCGTACGCTGCTGACTCACATGCCGTTAGGTGTCTAAAGCAAACTCTCTGCTCCCTTGGCCAAACCACGGAGCTGCAACCATGGCCACAAGGTGGGATGCGGAGCTTATGGGGGAGGGTGATGCGTTCACAGTGATGGGACAGGTGAATTTCCGATTACCTCTGAGCGTACAGTGAGACGTGGCACCACAGCCCACACAGGCCACACAAAGCTACTGTCCCCCTCGTCTACAGGGTCTGCCACACTCCCTCTGTGTCCAAGATTTTGACAGAGAATAGACAAGTGTTTCCAACTTCGGCTCCTAGGGAAGCCTTTCCCACCTCCAAAGGGCAGTCTGGTTCTGGGCTGGTGAGGTCTCACATGCATGTCCGACTCACCTAGGGAAGCCCTTACTAGACATCATGTTTAATTGCAATCTGTGGGTAATAATTACAAAATAAAATGCACATTTGTGAGGAAGGATTGAGAGGAAGCCTGCCAGCCCTTTATTCATCGAGCCTCCTGCTGGCTCCTGTGGCGTCTCCTGGCTTGGTTCCTCCCTCGGTCCACACGCATGGCCTGAGTCACACACACTGACATCTTCAGGTCTCCACTCTCCTCCTCCCTGCCCTCCTGAAAGGGAAGTTCCTTTCCCCGCCAACTACCCACGGCCCACCCACCTTTTAACAACCTGCCCAGGAAACGCAGGTTCCTGCTTCCACTAGGAATCCACATTTCTTCGGAAGCAGACGCCAAACATACGACGTCTTTGCCACTTTCAACAGCTCACATGCTCCTCTCTCCAGCTTTGTGGGGAAGGGGAAGGCACCAGCCAGGGGTGGCTACTGAGCACATGAAATGTGGTGTGTGACTGAGGACCTGAATTCGTAACTGTATATCAATTTAAGTGATTTAAATTTGCATAGCCACATGTGGCCAGTGGCTTCCCAGCAGACGGCGCCTGGGGCCTCCAGGGCAGCCATCTCTGTGGCTTCACAGTCCACGGGGATGCTCCAGTCTGGAGGCTGGAACCAGCGAGGAGACGCCACAGGAGCCAGCAGGAGGCTCGATGAATAAAGGGCTGGCAGGCTTGCTCTCCATCCTTCTTCACAAATGTGCATTTTATTTTGTAATTATTACCCACAGATTGCAATTAAACATGATGTCTAGTAAGGGCTTCCCTAGGTGAGTCGGACATCTTCTAAGCCAGCCTGTTTTTTTAATACTGTTATTCACCATATAATTTACAAACAGAGAGGAAAGGGCCTTCATACACCTTAAGGAAAACGAAGTGTCAAATTACTACAGTCGGCCCTCCGTATCTGTGGGTTCCTCAGACTCAACTAATCTTGCATAGAAAATTTGGGGGTAAAAAACAAAACATAATAAAAATTTAAGAATTGGTACAGTATAACAACTATTTACACAGCATTTACAATGTATGAGGTATTACCAGTAATCTGAGATGATTTTTTTGCATGTGGACGAGCATGCATAGGTTATAAGCAAACACGATGCTCTTTTACATCAGGGACTGAGGCACTGGAGGATTTTGGTATCTGCAGGGGGTCCTGGAACCAACTTCCCTCAGACACTGAGGAATGACTAATTCCAAAGCCACACTGAGATGAAGCCACGTGCAGGCTCTGTGACTTGTTTATGACCATGACCCTCTCCCCTCTGGCAAAGCAGGCAAGTCTGTGGACCCCTTCTTAGAATAATATTTTTAGGCAAATAATATTAAGAGGGTTATAAAAGAAAGCAGATATATATCAACATAACTGTGTGTCTGTGTGTGTGTGAGAGAGAGAGACAGTGGGGGAGAAGGAGGGGAGAGATCAGGACTGGGTATTGCTGTCATTTTGAAGTGGAGATCAGCATCCATGGGCTGTGAGGCACCTGTAGCAACACCATAGGGCCCAGCAAGGTGGCTCACACCTGTGATCCCAACACTTTAGAAGGCTGAGGTGGGTGGATCACCTGAGGTCAGGAGTTCAAGACCTGCCTGGCCAACTTGGTGAAACCCTATCTCTACTAAAAATACAAAAATTAGCTGGGCATAGTGGTGGGAGCCTGTAATTCCAGCTACTCAGGAAGCTGAGGCAGGAGAATCACTTCCACTTGTGAGGCAGAGGTCTCAGTGAGCAGAGATTGCACCACTGCACTCCAGCCTGGGCGACAGAGCAAGACCCCGTCTCAAAAAAGGAAAAAAAAAAAAAAAAAAAGAAATGTGTCATAGAAATACCTGTGATTTTTAATGATGACAAAGTCACAGGAGTGCTAATATCACTGTGGCTTGGTGACCTTCATACAGGAAGGGAATATTGAGTACAATTAGGAACTAATTTCACAGGCCTGAGTTTGGTCTGCGCATCCCAGATGAACTCCTGCCATGAGGCAAGAGAACTGGGAACACAGCTGTGAAAAGCTGCTATTCACTGTTCCATTCAGCGATTAGAATGGCCAGGAGCAAAAGAGGCAGATCCTGGCCATCCGGACGCTGCCGTCTGCGGACCGCTCTAAACACCGTTAACGCACGGTGCGCTAAAAAACAGCCACCTTCAAAAACTGGGCTGTGCCAAGAGCTACGGAAAGAGGCAAAAGCTTTACCTCAGCAAATACGGAGGCTGAGAATCCCTCAGAAGAGACCGAAGTGGAAGTTTCGAGTCGGCTTTTCTCACGCAATAGTTTAGTTTTCAAAGAGAGGCCCGTCCCTGAGAGTGGGGAAGGCAGCGGAATGGATCCTGGTGCCCAGGAAACGCGACAGTGCCAGGAGCTCACTGCACCGAGATGAGAAGCCAGGAGGGAGGGAACCCCGCCCCGCAAGCAGCCTGCAACGTGCTTATTGCTAGGTCAGGGAACGTGGGGGACTGAATATCCTTTGCTGCTTTTACTGAGATTCCCGGAATCACTGGATCGCCCATCTGTGCCTTAGAAAGCTGACTACATGTCTTTCTTGCCGGTTTCCCTGAGACTTCAGTGAAGTTTCCTGCGGTGGGGGAGAGGGGTGATGGCTGTTCCAGCCTGACCTTGATGCGTGAAAGCAAAGAAGAAAAAAAACATGATTTAGGGAAAGCAGACCAGACAACAAGGAGTGAGGGACGGGGGTCGGCAAGAGGGGCCGAAGAGAAAGGGTGCCGAGGAGAGGCCGAGCTCAGAAGGGACAGAGTTTCACAAGCGTTTATGCAGCCATCCCCTGCCACCTCACTCGGGGGAGCGTCTCTGCAGAGCTCTTCTCTCCTGAGAGAGCATTTAGCATTCACCAAACCACAGAAATAGAGCCCGAACGTACAGAGTTCTTGAGCTTGTTCTTCAGGCCATCAGATCCATCTAAATGTAATGTCTATTAAATGTGTACAATTCTACAACATGCCAAGCGCTGGGCTAGGTATAGAGTAGTAAAAGAAGAAGGGGGAAAAGTTACAAAGAAGGCAGGGTCCCCACCTTCCAGGGGCGTTCATCTGATAGAAGAGGACATGAGGAAGCTCATTCCCCTACAACACTTCTTCACAGGGCAGTGATCAGCCGCAGGGTTCAGCCCCGGGCTGCCCGATTTCCACAAGGAGAGCAGCCTCCTGCAAAATGCCCTTGTCAATCATGTTCCCCCAAAGCACATGAAGAAAATGAGGCCAAGGCTAAAAAATTAGACTGTAGTGAAATAATATAAAGAATGTAGCTGAGTGTATGGCTCACTCCTGTACCCCTAGCATTCTGGGAGACTGAGGTGAGAGGATCCCTTGAGGCCAGGAGTTCAAGACCAGGCTGGGCGACGGAACGGGACCCTACCTCTATTTTTGAAAGAAAGAAAGGAGACAGAGCAAGTGAGAGAGAGAATACTGTCACCTAACCAGAGAGAGAGTTCTGCGTCTCAGATCACAGATATTGAAACTCACCAAGAGAATGATTAATAAGTATACAAAGAATCAGCAGAACTGGAAGGGCATTTAAAAAATTCTGGAATGCACTTATGAGGCCAAAACAGCACACACTCCAATAAGGTAGAAAAAACAAAAAACCGAAAACCCCTCAGGAACAGGGTGAGTATCCCTTATCCAGAATACCTGGGGCCAGGAGTGCTTGAGATCTGGGGATATTTCCAGAATATACGCCAACTGAACATACCTAATCTGAAAATCTGAAATCCAAAATGCTCCAACGACTGTTTCCTTGAGCATCATGTCAGCACTCAAGGAGTTCTGGATTGTGAAGCATTTCGGATCAGAGGTGCTCAGCCTGTGAGTCAGACCTTCCAGTCCCTGAGGTCCCTACTAAAGCAAGTTCCTGCGACATTTAGCTTTTAACGGCAGGAGCAGAAAAGACAACAGATGTAGAGGAATGGAAAAGAAAGGACCGACGTGTCTTACGTAGTTAAGAAACCACCAGTCAGACTCAAGCGTCTTTGATTCAGACTCGGACCTGAACTGAGCAACGAGACACGAACTGTAAACACCCAACTCCAGTGGCCGGAACGTCCCACACGGCTCCCACTGCCTGGACCCCTGCCGTCCTCTGCCGGGAAGAAGACACCACTCACCATGGGAAACAGACCCAGCGAGTGGTAACGCCGGGACGTGGTGCTGGGCACGGTCTTGTTCCGGAGGTTCTTCAGCTCCTCCTGCGCCTCATGCAGCATCTCCATGCACTCAGCATACTTGTCCTCCAGCTCACGCAGCTGCGGGCAGCAAAGACACAGAGGTCAGGGTCTCCTGGGCACCCAGGGGTGCACACATCTGCCCATCCGAGGGCCGGAAAGACACGAACAGAGTCCCCAGCACGAGTGGAACCAGCTGCCCTGTGGGCCTGTGGCCAAATTACAGAATTTTCAAAGGCTTGCTTTTTCTCTGACTTGAGGCAAGCTTACAGACTCAGACACCTTCTAAAATACCAACAGCGGGCAAATGAAATAAAACCAACTTCATGCAAAAGAAAAATCAGACTACCCATGATGGCTTACATCTGTAATCTCAGCCCCTGCCCTTTGGGAGGGCAAGGCAGGCAGATTACTGCAGCCCAGGAGTTGAGACCAGCCGGGGCAACATGGCAAAACCCCATTTTTACAAAAGAACAAAAATTAGGTGGGGATATGTCCCACACCTGTAGTCCCAGACACTCAGGAAGATCACCTGAGCCTGAGGAGGCTGTGGCTGCAGTGAGCCACGGTCATGCCACTGTGCTCCAGCCTGCGTGACATATGATACCCTGTCTCAAAAAAAAAAAAAAAGAGAAAGAAAATTGTCACACCCATGTTTCAAGCCACAGCTGTGCATGAGGTTCCTCTCCCAGAGTGCTCTGTGTGGCTCCATTTCATTTCTCTGAACACGTTTTGGGCACCTGCACTTGCCAGGCTCAGCTGGTATAAAGCCCACCCCACAGGTGCTCAGAACCAGCAACTGTGCCAGTGAGTACAGAATCGAGATGCGACTGGGTTTACTATCCCACGAATAAAAATGAAATGAAATTCAAAGTAAAAACAGTGGTTACGATGGATGGGACTGTTGCCGTCGGGGAAGGCTGGTCCGCCTTCGCTGCAGGAACAAGGGATGCTCACCTCGGCCGTGAGCTGCCGCTGGGCATCCTTCGCAGCCCCCAGATGCTGCACGAGCTCTTCATTTTCCACCGCGCACTACAGCATGGCAAAGATAGAACATTTTCTAAGACACTCAGATTGTCCAGCCTTCCCCCCTCATTAACCTAATCCACGACGATCTCATCACTTTCTACGAGGACATGCTCATCTCATATTCAAGTTCTGTTTTTCATATGATTTTGAAGGTAAAGTCTTTCCTAGATCTACATTCATTCCCTACAGCCCTCCACCCCATCCCCCACTTCCAAAGCTCACTGGAAGCACTTTACCCTACACCAAGAGCAAAGCCAATTTTGTTGCCTCTTCTTAAATCTGAAGAGGATTCTGCTCTACTGCAGAACATACCTAGTGCACTGTGCAAAACAAACACTAGACTAGATGATCCATGAGTTAAACTCCAAAAGTCCATATTTACAGCATCTTTTTAATGAGTTTGAATAGTTTTAGGAGACAAGAGGTCACAACTGAGACTTGTCAGCCACTCAGGGTAATCAGTTTTATACTGCTGAGCCCACTGAGCTTTTCCTGCAGAGGGGCAACACAACCGTTAGGACTGAAACAAAAGGGCGCTGTCTTCTGGAGTAAGCGTCTCTTCCCCGCCTCTGCATGGCCATTGTAGCAGCCAGAAAACAGAGAAGCCTTACAGCTTTGGCCTTTTTCTGCAGATCCACTATTTGCGACAGCAAGTGTGTGATCTCCTCTTGCTGGCGGGCAGCATCTTCTGTCTTCTTGGCCAATTCCTCTGAGATACTAGCAATCTGGACATTGGCATCCCCTTTGACAAAGAAACAATCACAAGAGCTAGTCAGAAAACCACACATGCAGACCCAGACAGAAAAGTTTCTATGCGCTTTGCACAAGAAAAACCGTGCTTATTATAAGACAGCTGGAGTGGAGAGGGTGCAGGAAGAAGGAACTCACAGTGACCATTTTCCCACATGGAGAAGCAAAGCAGCTTCTGCAGGGCTCAGAACAAGCAGCTCACCCCATTAGCTGTCACTCCTGGACTCAGCGTGGCGCCCCAAGGCCACCCTTTGTTCTGGGGACACCAAGGCTGTGTCCCCAGAACAAAGAAGGGAAGCTCTGGGGGTCAGACAGAAAGTGAGGAGACATGAGTGCACCTGGCCAAATCCTTACATTCCACACGTGAGCAATCCATGAGACTAAACAGGCACCCGCTGCTGTGCCCAGTTCTGGAAAGGAACTTCTGCCTGCACAGCGCAATCCCTTGGGGTTTCCAACCCATATGCAGAGCGAGCACTCATTCAGCCAGATTGGAACATGAGGTGTGTTTCATTTACTTCGTATTTTGCTGAAATGCAAAATACTTAGTGTTTTGACCTTTTGTCTTAACTTGTAGACTTAAAATGAAGAGGATGAGGGACATATTTATTTGCAAAGGTGAGAACTCTGGCCTCAACTTCCACAAATCAAATTATTGGTTGTAAGCTGTCCTTCCACATTGGCAACACAGGTTTCTGTGGGTGGCCCTAACTTAGACATTAAAAAATTCCAATATTCCAGCGAGGCACAGCGGCTCACAATCCAGCACCTTGGGAGGCCAAGACGGGCAGATCACCTGAGGTCAGGAGTTCAAGGCCAGACTGGCCAACATGGTGAAACCCTGTCTCTACAAAAATATAAAAATTAGCCAGGCATCGTGGCAGGTGCCTGTAAACCTGGGAGGCTGAAGTGACAGAATTGCTTGAACCCAGGAGGCAGAGGTTGCAGCGAGCCCAGGTCACGCCCCTGGACCCTAGCCTGGGTGACAGAGTGAGACTCCATCTCAAAATAATAATAATAATTCCAATATTCCAGTAGAAAGCCGAAATGAAATTTAAATATCCACCTCAGTAATAAACTGAGATAACGCATAGCTGGCAACTTAGTACTAAGTTGATTAATGGGGAGGGGGTGCCACGCAAGGCTGGGGAGGACTCTGGTTTTAGGGAAAATGCTGCTGAGCCGTGGGCTGGCAGGAAGCTGCCCTTCAGCAGGGCTGCGGCTAGGCTGTGTCACCACGAGAGCGGATGCAGGGCAGCGGGCGGGGCGGGGCGGGGCAGCAAG